CCCCAGTGTAATGTCAGAGTGCATGTACATTACTTCATCCTGGCACTGTATTCCTTAGAGAATACAAATTGTGGTAGAATCATCACCTTCAAGACTTATACCTCTTAGTCTGTTCTGACTCCAGTGGAGATATCTGGGCACATTCATGGCATCTTATTGTTGGGCTACCTCATTCTCATTGTTCACTTTAAAAATATCTGTAGAATATTGTTGAGTACTGGTGATCATCTGTTCACTCCATGTTATCATACTGGTTCCTTTGAAGATGTGCTTTTTTTCAGGTATGGAGAAATATATTTAATTGCTCCTCTGTGTTTTGATTCAGAATTTGGTCATATATTTTATGCCCAGCTAATGGTTACAGAAGTCCTGTCTGTGCCGGTTCTGTTAATCCAGCATTCTGATCCATAGAGCAGTGTGGACATGGCCATGATGTGCTAGAACTTTAAAACAATCTACATTCTGGTCATTACCAATAGTGTTCTTTTGATGGTGCCACAAAAATATTGAAAATTTCATATCCAGACCTGAGTGTTGAAATTCAGAATTATAGCCAACATACTTAAAATTATTTATGTGCTGGTTTGAGATTCTCATAGTGGTGACTATGCATATATCTGTGTCCTGGGATGTGATGCTGTATATTCTCCTAGATCATTACCATCTACTCTAAACATGAAAGTAGCAGGCTCCTCTGAAATGTTAGTAATGATCAGGGCTCGGATTTTGATGACCTGAAAATATTTACAAAATGACCAAAAATATGACCCAAAAATGTAATATGGAGGGCCTGGATTTTTATGACCTGAAAATATTAAAAAAATGACCAAAAAATCCAGAAAAATGACCTAAAGGAGAAAAGAAAGAACACTTTGCTTCCATGTTATTCACATTTCAGAAAACATATGAAGAAAAATTCCCTAAAATGGCCAAAAATGACGACAAATACCCTTAAAAGTCCAAAAATTTACCAAAAAATTACCCCCAAAATGAAAAAATGACCTTAAACCTAAAAATGACAAAAAATTACCTGTAAAATTTACATTTCTGTAACCAGCAGCTCATATCCGAGATTTATATATTTAAGAGCATCGCATAGGATACAAGGAAAAAAGATGTCATGAAAATCTGGGCCCTGATAATGGTGTGCCAGACTACATGGCATTGCATCACAGTATATAAATTGAAAGGAGAGAGGCCCTTGCCCTTGGTCACTGTGTGCATTAATTAGAGGACTTTAAGATTAGGTTTGAAGGTACATTATTTTCAAGTGTATTAATTATACTCCTTTCATAACAGGAATGAATTTCTTGCGGTTCGCAATGCAGAAGGCAGCTTTTATATTTGTCAGGCAATGCAGAATATCTACAAAGCCAGTGCTCGTTTCCGGATACGATGGTTGTCTCAAGAGAAGAAAGACAACAAGCCTACTGACGTGTATATTCCAGATTTCTACGATGCCACAGGTTCAGATACTTTTCAGAATAATGCAGCACATAGAGTACTTGTCTCATGGACAAACATTAAGTAATATTTAGTTATGTGAGTGTAGAGGATCTCATGGCATTGCCTGTGAAGATTACTGTCTTGTGGCTTGCGATGCTGTAATCTGATAAACCATTATCAGTATTTCAAAGGGAACTATTGTCTCCATCTTCTGCCCGAAAGGTGGAGGCAGCAGATTCCTCTGAAACGTTGGTAATGATCTGCCAGACTTTGATGTGTCACAACCCAGAAAACAGTGATCTTCAGTGCTTGCCTAATGATGCTGTGCAGTGATATATTTGTTTCATTTCAAATCTCTGGAGGTTTCAGAGTCAAATTGTTGTGAATTTCAATACAGGTTCACCATAACTTTATAAATTTTTTATGAAAAGGTTAATTTACTGCATCTCAGCATTCAACAATGCCCCAGAAGGCATCAGTACAGTGGGGGGAACTATTTTAAAAATCTTACAGGTGTGCTTCCTGTTTGTGTGAGTGGTTAATAAAACCTAACAAAACACAATATTTTGGAAGCTAGTCATGTTTCCATCTTCACATAAGTGTATGAAACTCATTAGATGTAACTATTCCTTGTCTGTAGACTATGTAACAGACCCAATAGAGCAGGTTTCATACTTCCCTCTGGTGATAGAAGCAGAGCCAGATTCTGAAGTGTTGTGTTCCATTAACCAAAAAATGAGACAGTGAAAAGTGTCCAGTATGTATTTGCCCATTTCGTTTGGTTTTCAGAGTTTGACTGCATCCTTACAAGTCTGGAATTGGAGAAACTGGAGAAAAACAAGTATCATCTTCCAGAAGAAGAACGAGAAAGGACTCAGAGTATTCTTAAACGGGCACTTGATGTGGAAAAGGGTGTTGCAGAGAAGCCCCCTATCACAGAAGAGCATCCTGATGGATGTAAGTATGTTATTATGAGGATATGCATATTATTTCTAGTGGCAGACTTGTCAGGGATAATTACTGTGACCTAAATTGGACATGAAATTGAGAACAAAATTAATTTATCATAATCCAGTGTAGTCCCTCAAAGGAAGTTGAAGTGACTAACAGTTTTCTTAGTTCATAGTTTGGGTCTTTTATATGTACCTTTGAAAATTACACAAAATGATGGGAGAAATGTATGCCGTCATCTCCACACTCCTGAAGAATTATCTGACAATATCTGTCCTTCAGCTATTGTCTTTCTAGATATTTATCTTCCTCCTCCCACGTAATTTAATTCCTGTGGGGTTGTCCTTTGAATAACATGCAATATAGGATACAGTAAACTCCTGCAGTTGATAGAGTTGCTTTCCCTATTGCAGCTATTTCTGTTCTACATTTGGGGGGACTAGGAGTAAGGGAGATAATTATTTGAGTTAGCAGTCTTGCATTATTTTGTGGCTAACAGTATTTCCATAATAACATCTTTCACGTCTTCTAGTGGATTTGTCACTTTTCTGTGATGAGTCTCAGCTGAAGAAGAGAAAAAGCTTAAAGCGAACTCCAAGAAGGAAGGGAAAAGAAAATACATCGGGTGCAGAGGATGGTTATGAAGGGTTGACTGGTGATGAATCAGAAGAGGAAGTAAAAAAGAAGCCAAAACCAAACAAAAGAGTGGAGAAACCCAAGGTTTCTGTGAAGGAAAAAGTAAAGACGAAAGAGAAGCCAGTCGAGAAGAGGGCAGAACGTACCTCTGAACGTGGACGTGACCGAGGGCTGGCAGCAAAGAGGAGAAGTGAATCGACAACAGCTGCTGCAGCCGCCGCAGCAGCAGTCAAGAATGCTGCTGTGAAACAGACCGTGGCAAAACATGTTGTAGTGAGGCAGTCTCTAGCTAAGGCACCCGAAAAGAAACCCAGGATTGTGGCCAAGCCCACAAAGAAACCAGAGCCTGTGGCAGAAAGCAGTATTCCCACTCGGTCAACCAAGACAAGAAGTAAGCTTATTTCAAACTTCATTAACATTGTTTTCCAAAGTGTTTACAAGTTACTCCCTTTCAATGCATTTGGTGAAGGTTTACATTGGATAAATTATCATTGTTTCCATAATATCTTCACATTATGCTTACGATTCACTATACCATTTCTGCCCTTCTTGTGACATGCTTGACATCAGATTTTTATTTCAAGTAGTAGTGTGCAAGATTGACTTCCAGTGCAAGGTCAGAATTTTAAAAGCTTTGAGAATCTAGGTGAAAGTGAGAATTCTTTGTACTTGACCTTTTTTTTTTTTTCGTTGTAATCACAATTTACCATATAACACTAGCCAGTTTTTCAAACATCACTGAAGTGTACTGCTTATCCCTTTCTCGATGAGACACTCTCATTGCGCAGAGGAACAGAGAAAGATGCAGTGTGGGCAGAAAGAGGGGGAGAGAAAGAAAGATTTTGTTGTCCTCTTGATTGTATTGGCAATCATTACAGTTCTGGTGGATCAGGTAGTTTGTGTGCTTCTGCGCAGATCAAAGGCAGATATCTGAAAATTGTCAAAATTTGAGACTGAAAAATCAGCATTTGACTCAAAACCCATCATTCCCTCAGTTATATTTTAAAAAATATGAGACCCAACTAATGCTTACTTTTAAGGGTTTTTAGTATTTTAATTTCATTTTTATATCATTTTTATGCAGGTGTGAAAGTGACTTCACAGCCCAAGAACTCACCCGTTACAAGGACCAAGGAACGTGAGCACAGGGGAGCAACCCCTGCCAAAGGGAGGAAGAAACCAGGAAAGAAAGCTTAAACTGACAAGGCATGCAAGTGAAGTAAACAGTTAAACAAACAATTCTGTTTTCACAGAGGTGTGGATGTGGCAGGAATCAACATTTCTTCTCTGCCTTCACAATACAAAGGGAACAGTTTTTCTTGTCTGCTACCGTTTGTACACCAACAGACAGGAGTTTTATACTACAAGTGTATGATGGAACCTGGAGAACTTTAAGCACACCCTTTTTTATTCAGAATAATATGTGCTGAACCCGTTATTGATGGCTAACGAATGTCGTATTGTGGATCATTTGGGCAAAAAAAAAAAAGTATCATAGCGAAAATGTAAGGACCCATAATAGGTAAACATGATTTGGACAGAAACTTCTGAACAGTCATTTTGGTTATGCCACTGACAAAAGTAAATCCCTTCCCAACTGTAGAATTTCATACATACACACATGCAGTAATGATTTATTGGTGTCCTTGGTACTCTGCTGTGGCCAGCAGAGTTGATGATGTTTACAGTGGATGTATTTTATCATATGATGTTCGAATAGTACCGTACATTACAGAGTTGTCCTTGCCACACAATTACGTATGTTTGTTGTGTTGATGTGTGAAATGGATCGACCTTACAAGTAATGGTAGAATCTAACATTCTGATAGGTTCAGCGGGAATATTGACAGTTATATAACTTCTTTTCATTGCAAATTGTATACTTACAAATTGATACCATGATTGCATTTTACTTGGAAGTGTGTTTTAGGAGTAATCTTATTGTTTGGTTTTATTGCATAGCTCTCATATCTTATTGATTACTCTTCACTAGATAGCTTTGTATCCGTCTTTTCTTTCACTTTTTGATGAGAGATTAGTGGGTGAGATTAGTTTCATTAAAATAAGAAAATCGACACATATTACCGTAAAGAGTAATGTCAAGTTTGCAGCCATTTGTAGATCACAATTTATTTTCTGTTTTTGTGAATAGTGCACATTGCATTATGAAATTATTCATTTATATTAATTTAAGAAACTTGCTGGATGACTGGGAGATCTGTGCGACTAAAACCATAGAGGTGGCACTTAAGAGATTGTTAGTCTGCATTTCTTTTTTGATATGTACATTTGGGAATTGATATATTTTATCACAGTCCTTATGAAGATGAAGATTAAGGATATACATTTTAGAGAGCGTTATTGCTGTGCATTTGAAACTAGCACATTTCACGAGGTCTTAGTTTAGCGGACTGCATTATAAAATGCAGACTGTACTCCAGAACAGTCGAACCAAGCCACTAGCACACTTGGCAGATACTTGTCAGGCACACCTCACTTATTCTTTACACTGTCTAGATTGTATCCTAGGTAGATCTGAATTTACACAGACATTGTAGAATGTGCCATGTTTCTTAAATAAACCACATTAGAAAATTATAATGGACCTCTGCAAGATGAGATTCCAGTTAACTGCACATAGAATCTTGGATCTCATGTTCACAGGGCCATGTTGTATTTATTTTTCTATTTAACATTTCAAGGAATGCAGATTACTTGTAGGTCTTGGTGTGTCACAGGGGTGGAAAAATCCTGGGAGGCCAAAGGATGTAATCATTTTATTTAAGTATTGGTAGAAATGGTGGCCTTAGATGTGAACTTACAACTTTAAAAGCTGTTGTAGAGAACAACAGTTGCACTGTCAATGAAATGCACATTTCTCTGAGTTAATGTGCCTCCTTTATGATGCATTTAGGATATAATTTTGTTGTAAAGCATAAAACAATTCATATTTATCTAAACTGTTGTTCATAATAAAAATATTAAAATCATGATAAAATGAGGACATACAGGTAAATTACTAGGATGAGGGAGGACATAACTCCATACAGTGCAACCCTCGTCTAGTGTTACTCAGCGTTTTCTCTCAAATTCATTCCTTGAGCTCAGTGCTAAGTATCATCCATTGTACAGACTGAGTTTTTGGACCTTATCCATCTTTTTTTTTTATTTAAAACAACGATTTGGAGACTGGATTCTGTCTGTCTTCAGATAAAAAAGCTACTCAGTTGGGCCCAATTGGTAGAGCTAGTCCCTGCCTCCAGACCAACTTTTAGATCTTGTTTATCCGTTATGTGCAAGAATACTGTTCCCCAAAGAAACCTTAAATGGAGGTTTCAATGTATGTTGATAATCACATGGCAGTTACTTGTAATAATTTTCCTGCAATTAATGGAAGTTTGTGAAGTACAAAATTTATCTTTGTGGTCACACTGTAGATGATATATTCTTGTGAGATTTGAGATACAGTGATGAATATGAAGGTTGCTGTCTTCTTAGATATGATGTTGGTAGATCATTATCAACATTTCAGATAAACCTGTTTCCCCCATTTTCAGGGCAGAAGAGTAAGCTATATGAGGATCCCCCCCCCCCGCAGTTTTCCTTATTGCCGTTGGCTCCCTCTAGTGCAGGTCATTTTCTGTAGCACTTTCTTCCATGCTTGGCTTACTCTTCTACCTGAAGATGAGACAGTATTCAAAATGCTGTAATGATCCACCAGACTGTGTGGTGTCATCCTGGAAGAAAGTAATTTTCATGTATCGGGTTTTGTACAAGCCCATGGCAGTACATGCACTTACAAAACTCTACAAGGGAGTGTGTGGTCCCCTTTACACCCTAGCAGCCACATTTCTTACTGAGTCAGTTCTTTGGGCCTGACATTGGCATTCTTCCATCCTGTTTTAAACTTGAATTCATAATTTCCTGTTAGGGTGTATATAAATGAACCAGTGCTTGCTTTCTTAGCTGGCAGCTGAAGAACCTAGTTTACTTGGGGGGGAAGAAAAGAAAAACGTTATTACCCTGAAAATTTCTTGGAATATTTTTCCACCCCTGTTTGTAACATCCCTGTCCCAATTTAATTATTTTTGGCATCAGAGATGCCAACTTCTGAAGTAATATTTCCACCTCCTGTTGCAAATTTTGTGTTTGACTTACTGCATAAGTAAAACAGATGCCTGTAAAATGAGTCGTAGCTCACATTTTGTCACTGTTGTATGTTAGAAATATATTTAGAACTCTTCTCAGTCATCCCCTATCCTCTTGTAGAATCCTGGTAAAGATCAATGCACTAAATGGAAGAAACAGTTTGCATTCATACCTTTAAACTATGTTAATCCTTGTAAGTTATTAATTTGAGTTAGGAATTCCAAAATATGTAACAGTGAATATAATATGTAGATAATGTTAATGGGAAATATGGAGGGTAATTGGCATCTCTAATGTAAAATATTTTGCATATCAGGTTTGCAAAAAATCTTGGATGTTAATGAACATATGCAACAAATATATGAATGGTTGCAAATTTCACTACTGTGAACACAGCTGTACTGTAAAGAACAGTGATCAAACTGCTCCTAGATTTTAGCAATCCTGTGAAAGTATCTTATATATTAATTACAAGATCTGTAAAAGTATGTTTTCCTTCCTTCCCCTTTTCCATCATTCAATAAATGTTACAGAGAATTCATCTGATGTTTTTTAATTAGTGATATTAAAAACTGACTGCAAGTTATGTAGACCGGGGAGCAGTTATGGCAGTGTCAGTTAGCACAGAGAGGGTTGAGGATATCTATCACTGCAACACTGCCTAACTTGTTGCATTTGGAAACAACATACCATTCACTGGAGATCAGATGCAGGACCGACTTTGACCTGTGTTGTGGGTTCAGCCATCCCTGTTGATGAATGACAGGGAGGTTAGGACACCCACTGCCAGCAAACAGAACTTGACGTATCTATGCCCACTGTAATTTAGCACAGAGTAAGAGTTTTTGACACTATCAGTAGAGAAACTGGAGGGTTTTGGGCTCTAGCGTGACACTCAAGGCTCTTTACCAAGTTTGTATTTGTTTCTAAAAGAACAGTAAAATCACTTAAGTATCCATGTTCCACAAGGGATCATGACAATTTTGTGTGAAGAGCTTGTTTGCTTTTCCGCAATCATATTTCAGAAACTGGATCTAAGGGAAGAAAGATTCTTATTCCACTGGGTCCATTCAAAGGAACTAGTCTCAATCTTTGTGACTGAGGAAACTTGCAACATTGAACAGTGTCCAAAATATTAATTTCACTGTAACATGCCACCATTATAAATGTTTAGATGGAGGAGGATATAGTCGTGGCCTATTTCAGAGTACTGTACTACCTGCCGTTTGCACGGTAGGAAACAAATCAAAATCCTCTGGGTAGTTGGTGCCGTGGCGAAGACCCAGGTCAATAGTGTCCCTTCTGTCATGACTTCTTTCCTGGATATCTCAGGGTTTGCTTAGTTCCAGATATTCCACAACTGGCTTTTATCTATGTTGGGGACGAGACCATGGCTGTACCCCAAATTTGGTGGGACTATGGCAATGAGAATATGAGCCCAGGATAGCATAGTCGGTGTAGCCACTGGCTACAGGCTGGATGACCAAGGGTAGGAGTTTGAGTCATGGTAGGGTCAAGAATTTTCTCTTCTTCACGTGTTCCAGGCCAGCTCTGGGGCCCATGCAGCCTTCTGTCCCATTGCTACTGGGGGCTCTTTCCCCAGCAGTAAAGGGCATGGGCACGAAGCTGACCCCTCACCTCCAGCTAGTGCCTAGGTCAAGAAAATGTGGATATATACATCCACTCCACCATACGCCTTCATGGTGTAGTGCTTAATTAGTTAAGCACAAGGAAATTTTACCTTTACCAGTGAGAAGAGCAGACATCCGTGTCCTAGAAGTGATTCAACACAGTCCACCTAACACGTTCACTACTAATCCCAGGGTGAAATTTACCATGTGCCAGTGATGATGCCAGCAACTGATGACCTGTTACCACTTTGTATGTCATAAATGTCACTTTTGCCTATAGGTGACACTGTAGGAGAAACTTTCAAGAGTAGCCTGATGAAGCTTGAAAATTAAAATAGAATGACTTGTTTTTCATGTGTTTCCTATTTCAAATGTAGTTTGAAATCCATATTCTTTGTGGGTGGGGGGAATAATAGCTAGTCCAGCAAGTAAAATCCTGTCCAGATATATGCTGACTATAAGCCAAAATATATTTGGAATCCTGAAATCTCATAACAGAATCTTCAGGTGGTTTTGAAATATATGTGCAATTTTAAGGAATCAGTATAACTTTTATTGTGTAGCACCTGAAGGAGGTAAGTCAGGCTAATCTTTATACAATAATACATATCATTTTTCCCACTCATAATACGCACTTATTCATTAAAATCGCTTAAGAAATAATAACACTTCAGTGTACTTTTACAATTTTGTTGCATAAAAACATGTTCTGGACTGACAAACATTCATTCACATGTTCACACATTTATGGGAACAGTAAAATGCATCTGTTGGCACAACTGTATCAACATCCTGAGACAAGGTTACTGTATTGGCTATGTGGTTTAGTTGGAGCTGGACGTATTTTCTCATGAACATTTCAAAACAAGCTGATCCACAGACGCAGTAATGAGCATTATCTAGATAGAATACTAGAGTTCTAGGAATTATTTCTGGGGAGTAGAATATCCTGAAATACATAAAAAAAACAAAAGAATAAGATTCAGTGTTTGAGGCTATTCTCTTGGACTTAGTCCATTATTCAAAGCCCTGTTATATAAAAACCATTTATTTCCATGTTAGGATGAACAGACTGCAAAGAAATTTTGGCTCTGTTAGGCTCCTCACTCATGGAGCTGAGTCCTTCTTGAGAAGCTGCCAATTGTGCAGCTATTCAAGAACTTCCCAGCATTTTATGGAACCCAAAGGTTCATTACCATGCTCACAAGAGCCTTCCACTGGTCCCTATCCTGCGCCAGATCGATCCAGTCCACACCATCCCAGCCTAGCTCTAAGATCCATTTTAATATTGTTCACCCACCTGCATGTTGGTCTTCCTAGTGGTTCCTTCCTTCTGGCTTTCCCACCAATATTCTATATGCATTCCTCTTCGCCCCATTCATGCCACATATCCTGCCCATCTCATCCTCCTTGACTTAATCATTCTAATTACACTTGGCAAAGTGTACAAGTTATGAAGCTCCTCATTATGTAGTTTTCTCGAACCTCCCATCATTTCATCTCTCTTCGATCCAAATATTCTCCTCTCAAACACCCTCACTCTATGTTCCTCCCTTAATGTCAGAGACCAAGTTTCACAGAACCACAGGCAAAATTATAGTTCTGTATATTCTAATTTTTGTTTATAGACAGCAGAAAAGAAGATGAAAGGTTCTGGAGTGAATGGTAGCAAGCATTACCTGAATTCAGTCTCAACTTAATTTCCGCCCGAATCAGGTTTTGATTTGTTAGTGATTCCCAAATACCTGAACTGTGCCATATTTTCAAAACATGTTACCTATATTTGTCATGATTGTGCTCTGCATTATGGTGATGAGACAGCGCCTACATAGACCTATTCTCATATCCTGAGACAGAAACAGACCCCATTTTCCAAATCATGATTTTTATAGAAAAAAATAGGATGGACAAAACAAAAAAGAACAGTTTAAACATTGCTTCACACCACAATCAGCCTCAGACTCAGTTTCAGTGCAACATGTTTACATATACACTGGCTACAAATGGTGAAATTCAGGGGTCAGCATTTATTAATCTGAAGTTTTCTAAAAAATTTATCTTAAATGTGTGCAAATATAGCATAACACAGAATAATATTTAAACTTGTTTAGTATATTCATTTTACACAAACTTTAAAAGTAGGTTGAAGGTTCTTACAGTGACACTACAATGTTTATATATACGTAGGTCATACCGAAAGTCATGAGCAACTTCCTTTTGCATGCAACATGAGAACAGCAAACAAAAGAGAGTACGGTAGTAGGTGGAACCAGGTGTTGTGTTAACCTTCAGTGTCTTGTGACGTCAATAGCTTGCATCGTGTGACCAGTATCACTCCTAACAAAATGGCTGACAACAATATGTCGGATAGACTTGAAAGGATTCTGACGATGGTGTATACTATACTTCTTTTGGCTTATTTTGGACATCATCCATCGTCTGGTATGTAAAAGACAAAAGACCATGACGTTTCGGAGACTGGATCTGTCTCCATCTTCAGGTGGCTAGGGAAGGATAAACCTACTCAATTCAATTCAATTCAATTCATTTATTTCATCCATAGCTGTAGAAATTACAATTGGACATGTCAGATAACAACAACATTACAGCTCTTTCTAACGGGCCCAACTGAGTAGGTTTATCCTTCCCTACCCACCTGAAGATGGAGACAGATCCAGTCTCTGAAACATCGTGGTCTTTTATCTTTTACATACCAGACGATGAATGAAGTCCAAAATAAGCCAAAAGAAGAACAATGTCGTTTCACCAGCGAGCTGTCATCAAATTTCTTGTGAAAGAGGCAAT